TACATTAATTTGACAGGATATAAAATCAATTGCCTAATTATTGGTTAAATTTATCAAAGAGATTCTACTGAAAGGTGCTTGATTATGGTGCATAGTTATGATAATATAATCAAATTTCCTTTCAGATGTAATTGACCAATTTTGTTCCCCAATCCATTTCTTTCTCATTCTTAAGATGAGTTTCTTCATTTGTTTCCCCTTTTCAAAGTAAAAAATAGCAAGTACTGTGCACGGTCGTCCTGTAATTATTTGGTAAGATCTCTCCATGCTAAACCTGTACACTTAAATACAGACCTAATACATGGAATTGCCATAATTTAGAATGCTGTAAACACAGATCATGCCATAATCTGAAAGAGGTGCCCATGTCGATGTTTACCAGCCTGATCCATATGGCGGGGAGAGAGCTGTAAGATGGTAGAGTTTATCAAATCGAGTTCCCTAAATCTTAGCTAGCAAATTCAGCATTCCCCATAAACAGTGAATTACCCTTACAGATGTTAGACTATGAAATTATCAACTACTGAAGGTACTTTGCTAGGAAACACAATCTGTTCAGCGTCAAGGCTAAGAGAAGCGCTCTATCTGCATTTTTGACTCAAGAAAGGACTTAATTGATAGTTTGTTCATATTTTTAAGTAAATTCTTGCAAGGAACAAATAAATCATACCACCGCAAAGCAAATAATCACTGAACATCCATCCTCGGCTAGTAGTATTTAGTGCACGCAGCTCTCCTTGGCTTAACTCTTCCAGAAGTGATTACTCGAGGACCCATCAAACCCTGTGGAGCTCAGGAGAGAAGCTGCTGTGGCCCATATTATTCCATATGAGCAGCTTCAGAGTCCCTCATCTGATAGATGAATTGTAACTGCAAAACGCCACCGGAGTTATTGTTAGTTTTCATTTCTGTTTGGACTCGAGGGCAGCTTGAATCTAAAGAGAATATGGCGTGCTTGCTGACCGAAGCAGGTACGCAGGCTGGGCCGATGTAAACGTTGCCTTTATGTTTCTGATGTGTAAAATGTAGACTAGGCAACAACGTACTTGACAAGTAGCGAAGACGAGTGGAGCTAGGCAGCTTGTTCTGGAGCAGGAGGGCAGCTGGAGGAGAGGTGCTATAGGCTGGTGGTTTCTGGCCTGTTTGAAAAACTACTTGAAATTATTTTGGCATAATTGGATTTGTAGGAGTCATCGAAGCAACGGCAGCTGAAAGGAATTGGTGGCTGATGCCATCACAATGTTAATCATAAAGGAGACTGGAGCTTGTGAAGTCAGAATGGATTCAAGTGCACCAACAGGAGCAGAATGGGTAGCGCGTTTTACACCGTGGGACTCATGACACAGAGTTTTAGCATTGTCGTGAGAGGGACGTGACGTAGTATGCTAAAGTGCTCAAGCCCGGAAGTGGCACATTGCTGTTATTTTTTATCAGTGGCAGTAATGTGTCATTGTTATTATTTTATTATTTGAGGTGAGATTTGAACATATTCAGAATGGTAGGAAGAAAGAATTAATTCCTGACACCTGCTCAAATTCCGTTGATTTGGTGGGATTCTTAAAGTGGCTAGGACTAAGTCAGCCAGCATCTGGAGCAATTTTTTTTTTTTTTTAATCCAGAGGTCTGTGAGAGGGCGGTGGACAGTTTGGCGTAGTGTAAAATGCAGACCAAGTTCCATTTCTGCTTCTGCTGTATCCTAGGTTCACTCTCGCTGCAGGTCATTTATAACCCCTCTGGGCCTCAACTTCCTGAAATAATTAGGGACTACACCATGTTTTCTATTACCAAAATAAGATAATGGGGTTCAAGTGTTTTCAAAGGCAGTCATGTGCCACAGAAAAATAAGGTCACCCTATCAGGTCAAGTCAGCCCTGGAAGACCAGAGGAGGTGGGCTACAGGACGGTATGAGAAGCAGGAGCACAAAGAAAGAGAAGTCTGAAAGAGAGCTGAGGCCACGATCACAGAAATGGTGAGAGGAGCTTTCAAAGAAAGCTAACTGGTTTGAATTGGAATGGTGTTTTGGAAAAGGAGGCAAAAATAAAATGCATTAGGGAAAAGTATTTCCATTGCCTGGGGACTGAGGGGCCGAGAGAGGGGAGAGGCCAGTCGTGTTGGTTGGTTGGTTAATAAAAGAAGTCTGTCCCCATGTGAGATGAAGTGGGTTTGCATGCTTAGCCTGCTGGGCTGTGGAGGGCAAAAAGGGGGGAGATCGGTGAGGTGGGGAAGTTGAGAGACCAAACAGACTGAGATCTCCATGTTTCCCATGCAAACTGTGTGCACACTTTAAAGATTCTCTCATTGCAGGTGGGTCGTGGGGTGGAGGGTGAGTTATTGTGTGAGTTATTCACGTTTGCTACATGAAGAGATCAAGAAGCCACACAGCTAGAGAGTGATGGACCCAAGGCTTTCTACTGCGGGGCTAGAGCCCCTTCTTCCACACGGCTACACCTCAGTGAGGGAGAATACGCCCCTGTTCTTGGCTTGTCTGAAAAGCGCTGAGGGTGTCAGAGAGAGGTGGGGAGAAAGAGGAAGGGAAAAGGTCACCCCCCCACCAGGAAGAGGCAGATGGAGAGCAGGCCACACAGAGGGCTGTGGAGCCATCCCATCCACTGGGCTCCACAGCCCTCGAACAAACACGACCACGAACCTGTTGTGCCACACAATGTGGGCTATACAAATTCAAGAATTACTCATAAAATTTAGGACACAAACTTCAGGATGCTTATTTTTATTCTAAGCACGGGAAATGAAACATGTCAGTCTTCAATAAAGGAAAGCCCACTCATTAATGGTGCCGTTGAAAAAAACCCCAGAATTCTATACAGTCTATAGCCCTTCAAAAAAAAAGACGTTTCCCTAGATTCTCTTTCAAGAACAGAAGGACTTTTGTTACTTCCTCAAAGGGTGCTATCTTTTATGAGCTTATTAAGGCAAACTGCTTCTTTTCTTTCAATGTTGAAGCGACATTCTGTTGTTTCTCTAAGTGGCTCCTCCAGCGGACTGGGGCCCCCAGCCTCTGCCAGGTGCTCACCCGGCTCCCCTCCCCCAGGGCCAGGCCACTCGTAAGAAGAGATTCCAATTGTGACCAATTAGGTGGTGATTCTGAAACGGGTCCCACATTCCGTTGGGAATTAAGAAAAGACCGCTGACTTCATTTGGAAGAGAGGAAGAGGTTTCTTGCCATGTTACCTTTCTTTAAGGAAGGCAGCCAACACACTAGCAAGGATTTGGTGTCTCTGCTTGATCTGACCCATCTCCGCCCAATGGAAGGAGCAGACACCTGCAGTCTCCTGCTTCAGCACACTGGCGGATTTCTCCACCCCAACCCTTGGACCCCAGGGGGGATGACACAGGGGTTCCTGAGCTCTTACAAAAGTAGCCCGTATAGGGGCACCCGGGTGACTCAGTCGGTTGGGTACCTGACTCTTGGTTTTAGCTCAGGTCTTGATCTCAGGGTCGTGAGATCGAGCCCCGTGTCAGGCTCCTTGCTCGGCGTGAGTCTGCTTGAGATTCTCCCTCTTCCTCTGCGCCTCCCCCCTCTCATGTTCTCTAAATAAATAAATAAATAAATCTTTTTTAAAAAGTCGCCAGTATATCCCCAATTCAGATAGTCTTGTCTCTGATCAGAGTAATAGCACTCATCTCTTTAATAGCCAATAACAACACTCGTGGGCTGAAAACGGGGCATGCATAACGTGGGGAGTCTCAAAAGCAGAAGGGTCTTGAAGTGGAAGCGAGGATTCCCCATCAGGATATTCACCCAACAGGTGAAATCGGCGATCAGGTCAACTTGACAATAAACAGCTCTCTCCTCTTTATTATTCCTTGGGCTGCACTGTCACAGATTCCCTTGGAGCCCTGGGCTGCCTGGAAGGCATGCACCACGGGGAGTCTCAGGCAGAGGTGTGGGTGAGTTCCTCACTTTGGTAAGTGGGGGAGAGGTGCAGACTTCTCAATGGTACACAGATTGTTCTCTTCCCTGGGCGGCAAGCCTGCGTGCTTTTCTCATGGCCACGCTGATCATCATTTATCATAATAATGAGCATCTATACCTCTTGGCAGCTTCTAAGGGAATTAGGACAGGTATTATTATCCTGTTTCACAGATAACAATGGAGATTCAGAAAGCTGGAGTTCTGTGTCCAAACCACAGAGTGACAAACAGCAGAGCTGGCCCTGGGACTCAGTGCCACGACTTCCATTCTTCAGGTACCACATTGCCTTGCCTTATGACGCGAACAGCCAGAGACAGGAGACCCATTTTTCCGGCTGGGCTCTGGTGTTGCCTTTGAGTTTAAGCATCTACTTTGGGAGAGGTCACTGCCACCTTCGGCAACTTCATGCTGCCTCCATGCCATTCATATGCACACATTCCCTCCCATTAGTAACAGGTCCTACAACTTGCCTTCACTCTCAAGTCTCTCCTCCTTGCCACCCTCCCACATCTTGCCCCCTCGTCATAGGCCACAACCCCCACAACCCTGTTCCACCCACGTTGGCGCAGGAAGTGGCAGTGAAGTTGAGACTTGAGATCCCAGAGAGCAGAAAGCCCAAGATTTAGGGTAGGCTGCTTAAAGAGGGAGAGTTTCCTGAAGAACATGGGGAGTCTCAAAAGAAAGACCCAGAAAGGCACAAGGATGAAACAGAAGCTTAGGGAGATGACAAGACTAGCTTGGCTGGGGATGGGGAGAGGACAGGTGAGAAATGAGCCGGGAGGTGTAAGCAGAAGGGTCTTGAAGTGGAAGCGAGGATTCCCCATCAGGATACTCCCAGAAACAGCACAGTAATTACTTGAAAGAGCTTAAGCAGATAGATTGCTTCGTTATTAAAAGGCACAGAAATGGAGCACTGGGTGTTATGCACAAACAATGAATCATGGAACACTTCATCTAAAACTAATGATGTAATGTATGGGGATTAACATAAGAATAAAAAAAAAGTAAATAAATGTTCTAAAGGAAAAAAAAAAAAAAGGCACAGAAATAAAGTTTTAAACTCACCCGCAAGATTTCTTCAACACAGCTTGGATCACTGGGAAGGCTTACCTAAAATAAAATAAACAAACAAAAATTAAGCACCATTTAGCTATTCTCAGAGAAGTTTATTGTATAATACTTTACATGGTAGGAAAAATTGTAAAGAAAGGAAATACAGCTATCAATGTAGAGTTTTCCCCTGCTAAGTACAAAGCCAAAAGTATCTGCTAGTGGCCAATTTTCATTGCTTTAATGAAGCAGTAAGACCACAGTGCAAGGTGCAGAGAGAGAGTGACACGTTTTGTCACCGATTTTCTGTGGGACATTGGGCTGCCCTTCCATCACCCAGGCTTTACTTTGCTCATCTATCCAAAGAAGGAGCTCGACTTCCTCATCTTTAAGGCCCATTTGACCCTCTGCCAGGGTTTAATATATTATTCATAATCACAGATTTTTTTTTTAAAGACGAGGCCAATAGGACATACTTCTATGATTGAATTAAGTTCTTTTTAAACTTAGGAGTCTAACCAGATGCCTGCAATTCTTATCCAAAACACCAAGGCTCAAACTGTGTAAATTGCAGGCATGCCTTTGCACTTAGAGAGCATCTCACAAACATACAAAGTGAGTCCCATGAGCCGTCTTTCCCAGTGTGACATCTTCCTAATCAATCAAAATTCAAGCAACTTGCAGAAATGTCCCGAGGACTCACTGCAGGTCCAGCACAAAGCTCTATCCTCCAGGGGCTCTATCATCAGTGAAAGCCAGAAGCCAGACACCAAAGCGAGGCACCAGCTCGAAGGCAGTGACCGGCGAGGGGCCCGGGCATGGGACAACCACCCGGAGAAGGGTCTGCCGGGCGTGACGTCACCTGTGTGAGCTACAGGCATCCCCCAAACATCCCTCTCGCCTTCACACCTTCCCCCTCTCCAGGACTGCGAACTGTCACTTCTGCTTCCCTCCAGTTCTGGCGAGGAGGGCATTTGGTCTCTTTAATTCACTGCCTCAGAAGGCGAAAGGTCAGTCCTGCAAAGACAGTACGGCCACAGAGGCTGTACATCCAGACCTCTCGAGGGGGCAGTTAGGTGATAAGCCCCCAGTTCCTCCGATAGACTGAAGGCTGAGCATAACTCTATTTGGGGAAATGGAAAATAGAATATGGCCCCAGTTTCCCGCAAACCTGCATGTCTCCTTTCCCCCTCACAAATGTCCCAGTTTGGATGATAAATTACACAGTCACCCTTCCCAGCACAATAATATTCTAGTACTGGGTAGAAAGAACAGGAGAAGGAAAGGCTGCAAAAGAGGGCCAGGCACAACTTTCCAGAGGACCTTAAATGCAGGGTCCCAGTAGGCAACTATGGGTAGGGTTTGGCCCAGGACAGCACATTCATTCATTCAACAAATTTTTTGAGGGCCAGCCTTCTGCTAGGCACAGATACAAGGAAAAGCAAAAGGAGACACAGCTTCCTCCCTCATGGAGTTTGTAGACTCAAGAGGAAGGTAGATATGAGGAATCACATAGTTAATGTAGGACTGAAACTGTGTTAAGTGCTACCCGAGCCCATCCCACAGGTACTGGGAATCTTTCCATGTCCAAATAAGCATGGGAAATACTGCAATCCACCTCCTCCCCCGACGTGGAAATCCATGATGTGAATTAAAGGCTCCGAGACACCTATCTAACTGTTTAACGCAACACGTTGCCAACTCTCTTGACCACTAAATTCTTGGCTTTTTAGTTTTTGTGATTTTCTTTTCCCAATCGACATATACCACCATTCCACACAGAATGAGTGCTCGCAGAACACACACTGGGAGATGCTGGTCTAACACAGTTCAGGATTACAGAACTCAACGGATTAGTCTTAATAGCCGATACAATCTCATCCCATTGTTCAATGCTCCAGCAACTGTATTTTCTAAGACAATCCTTGAACTTCTAACAAATAACCTTTGCCAAAGGTCAAAATGATTACAGCAGAATTCAATCTTCAATATCATTGTTGCATTCTATCCGTGTGGGCGACCTGGGCTAAAAAATGTATGTCCCGCTCTCAGAAAAAGGTCTTTGCTCTTTTTGTTCCCACACAAAAACATAATGTCAATTTTCAACCACAGAGAAAAACATATCAGCAATATGCAGACACGGCAAGAACGCTTGCCTCTGGGTCTGTAAGGAGCTGGGTGGGAGTTCTGGCCCTACCACTTGGGGACAGGACTTGGTAACTTTACCCCTGTGAGTTCCAGTTTTCCCAACTGTAAAATAAAGTAGAATAAAATAAAATCGCCATCATAATAATACCCGCTCCTTTCAAATCTCACAGGGTTTCTGTGAGCAGCAAATGAAATAAATAATGTGAATATGCTTTGTACCCTGCAAAGCCCCACACAATGAGCCAGGTTATTACCCCTTGTCCTGTTGTTCTCCTTACTGCTTTATTACTAAGTCGAGTCTTCTCGTCTTTTCCAGGAAAGACCCGACTCACTCTCGCCAACTGCAAATGTCATTCCTACACCTGGTATTATAAATATCCATTTCCTTATGGGGGAACTGCTGTCAAAATAGAAAGAGTTGTCAACTCTGGGGCTTTGCGGCAAATCTAATAATGACTGCTTGGGGGTCGGGAGCACTCAGGATCGGAAGGGACTGCAGACAAGGACAGTCAAATAAGTATGCATCCACACCGAGGGTTCAGATTGTTTTTCTTTTTAAGAAAATCCCAGAATCCAGCATTGGCATGGAGTCACTAGTCCTGCAAACTCATCTAGCCCTGCCCCACAGCTCTTTCCACCACAAGACAACTACATTTGAGCGGCAAATGCTTCTCCCCCTGCGAGTGCTTTTGAATTAAGCAGTGGAGCATTTCCTCTGAGCCTAGAATAGTGTTAGGCGTGGGGGGTGGCCTCTTTCTCTCGGAGTTAAATGTCTAGATGGGACGGCAAAACAAATAATTAGAGACCCACTGGGACATACATTGTAAGGTAGTCGTGACAAGGGTAATAGGATCGCATTCACTGCCCGACCGCCTATTCATCAGTTCTCCCATTTATTTCTTTAGACAACAAATCCTGATTGAGCTCACACTGTGCTCAGGATGGTGCCAAGGGGGAGGGTTTGAAGACACTGAAGACAACATAATTTCTGGCTTCAAGACTCCACGCAAATTGGGAAGACAAACATTTACACGGGAAACAGACAATAGGGAACAGGAGGTCTGATTAGGTGGTGGAGAGAGGGTACCTACCGGGTTCACGGACAGAGCCATGTCCGACAGAAGCTCCCAGCCGCCGAGGTCCCCACTGTAGTCCTCACTCCACATGGGAGTGAGAGGCCAAGGATCTGACATGGCCGAGAAGTGGCAGAGCCACCTGAGGCCACTTCAGTCTCTGAGCCCCCTGAGGAGCTGCACGCCGTGGGGGGCGGGGGGTGTCACTCTGCACACTGAAGACAGCTGCACCAAGGCGGGGGCTCAGCCCCAGAATTTTGCCCAGTGCACTCCCCCCCCACACACACACGCCCCTCTCGCAGTACTTCTGGAGTCACTCGGACAGGTGGGAAAGGAGACTAAGAGAACTAGTGGTGACACGGGGATTAGAACTGCTGCCCGCCGAGTTGCCAAGCTGCTGCTTAATTCCCAAGCCACCTTCTCCTCTCTTTCAATCCACTCTTGAGCATTCGGACAGTCCACAAAGCGCAAGTTAGCCACTCAGAGCTGCGGCGTCCTTTGCATCCCCCTCTCCGCCCCCTCCTCCTAGAGCAGAGAGCAGGCTGCACGCCGCACAGGGGAACCTGTTCTCTCCCGCCCGGCCCCAGACGACCCTCTCGGGCTGGGCACAGATGTGGTCCTCTGAGGGCCAGGGAAGGCAGGCACACATGGCGGGCAGGTGGGGAGTTGCCTGAGAGCCCTCACAAGTGCCTACCCTCTCTGCACGTGACAGGGCAGGCTGCCACCCCATGTAGCCACAGAGAGACCACGCACCGATCATCTGCCTGGCGATAAATACATATCTTAGGAAATAATGAGGGTACCTTTAAATCATCAAATATTCAGTTAACTGCAGCAACAATAAATGAATTGCATAGGATGTTTTAATCATTCTAGAATTAATCAGTTTGGAGCATACTTCTTGGCGATTAGGGTAATACAAGATATCAAAAATACCCTGATTGTGGCATCGAGAGACATAATAGAAAACATAGAGATTAATGTAAAACATTAAAAGAATAATGATCATCACATGGTTAACCGGGGAGTGAGGGAGCTCAGTGCATGCCTGTCACTACATTATTATTAAGGGACTGCGAGAGAAGGGTCATTCTTTTTTTTTTTTTTTTTTCCCCTAAAAGCACCCTGAGGTTGCCACAGTATCTGGCAATCAAAGCCCACGATTCCAGGCATATTCCACCTTGACAAAGACTTCGCAAAGTAAAACTCAAAAAACATGAGCTTAATTGCCGGCGAATGCTTGCATTCCCCTAACAAGTGCAAGTGACACAGAGTGACACCCCACTAACACCAAATACCGTGCTAATGGCCCAGTCAAACAACATGCATGACTGACACCCACGGCAGCTTCTGAACTAATTCCGTTTGTATTTTCATTAACAAATTGCCACATTTATCCTCATGATTGATTTATGGGACACGGAGCTCCCCTGACACGGCATTACTAATAGAATGAAAAGTCAGGTTATGATTTTGTACTACCAAATGAGTTTGCCGGCTTTTTAAAATTTTTAATCCCCATGGTTGGTCACTTGTAAAAACCAAGGGGCAGCAGCCTCTGGAGTCCTGATTTGCATGTGCCTGGGGATCCCTTTATCTCCCCACCCCACCCAGGGAGTCCCGGGTCTCCAGTTTGGAAAACTACAAACCCAGTTCACATTAGGATCCGTCAGTCCCCTGCTTCCTGCCTCACCTTAACCTGTTCCTATTCTAGTTGGTATTCATGAGGCCATGATTAAACGGGAACAGTTAATATTACATAAGCTGCCAACAGAAGTCCTCAGGTAATAGAACTTTAATCAAAACAAAAAAAGATTTCACAACAGTACAGCCAACCAG